ACAGCTGGGCCCTGCTTACCAGTCCCACACCTCAACTTGGAGGCAGGCAGTGCTCTGAGTCCCCCACGCTTCCTCCCAGGGGCTGGCCCAGAGGGAGCTCCACTGCCCAGTGCCAGCTGTGGTGGCTGCTGGGGGGGCCCCAGCCCCAGGGCTGGGCTGGGACCCCTCCCCAGCAGCCGGGGCAGCTCCTGCCATGTTTCCCCTCCAAGCCCTGCCTGGGAAAGCTGCCCACCCGGCTGGGGAGCACAAAGCAGGGGCAGACCTAGTGCCTTCCTGCCTCAGAGATGGGGCAAGGACACTAGGTCTCTCCCCTCCACCCCCATCCAGCCCCTTGCAGGGGCAGCTGGGAGCTTCCTCTGCTCTCCCCACCCAGGGCATGGGATGGGGACGAGGGGAGTCCCTGCCCACACGCCCAAGCAGAGGCCACTCACAGCAAACTGTCGGAGACAACAGGTTCAATTGGACGCAGCAGGTACAGACTGCAACACCCCCGTGCCTGGGCCGGGGCACTGCCAGCCACTGCCCCCCACCCCAGGCTGGCAGGAGCCCTGAGCGGCACCACACCCCCTCCCCATAGCCCAGCCCATGACACTTCCCAGGCGGCTGCGGGGATGCGCCGGCCCCTGTGCGATGTACAAGCAGCCCCGGCAGGCGCTGGGCACTCAGGGAGGCGCTGGGTCCTTCTCGGTGCCGCGGTCCTTGCTCTCGGCATCAGTGTCAGCCCCAGCCTGCTGCTGCAGCCACATCCCAGCATACACACCACCACGGCGCACCAGGTCTTCATGCCTGTGGAGACGCGGGGCATGAGGCTCCCGGCAGAGCTGGGGGGCAGCGGGGAGCAGCAACGTGGGTGCAGGGGCCTCACCTGCCTCGCTCCACAACGCGCCCATCCTTGAGCACCAGGATCTGATCCGCACCCATCACGGTGGAGAGTCTGAGGGACCAGGACAGAGCTTGGACTAAGGGTCCCAGCACCCGGCCCTGCTCCCCAAGCACCCCACTGCGCCTGCGACACTGCATGGTAAGACTGCAGCAGTCTCTCCTTAGACACGGCCCACCCACCCACCCAGCCCCG